TGCTCCCTCGAAGAGCCTCTGGCAACTGTGTAAGTGGTAGAGGAGGGCTTATTCTGCAGTGATCACTTCCTTTCTCATTTTACAGATGGAGAAACTGAGGCTTCCATGAATGGGTGGAACCTGCCCACTGAGGTCACAGAGGTAGGTAATGGTGAGGAGATTTGAACTCAGGTCTCCTCCAAGTCTGCTACATGATTGGACCTCATTCATGGTCCAGACTGTCACACAGACTAAGTGAGGGATGTGATCAAGAGATAAGCCTTCAGTGAAATGAGGCATCTGTCCTTATCTGGGCTGAGAGGGCTGAGATGCCAGCACAGGATGGAGAAGAAGAGGACCAGTCAGGGTGAACATCCTCTCTTGTTTGTTCTCATCCTGCCCCATTTCACAGATGAGATCATTGAGGTCCAGAGAGGGAAGAGACATACCCATGGTCACCCAGGGGACAGTGTAGCGTGGTAGGCAGATCTGGAGCCAGAGAATGTGGATTCCAATACTGCCTCTATTACTTACTAATGATATTCCTATTTTACAGATGAGAAAGTAGAGGCAGGCAAAGGTAAAGTGACTTGCTCAGACTGTCTGAGGCAGAATTTGAACCCAGGTTATTCTGACTTCAAGCCCAACATTATCCTTGGACCTTGGACAAGTCATTTGCCCTCCTTGGACCTCTTTTCTCCATCTATAAAACAAAGGGATTGTATTAGATGGAACCTGAGGAGGTCACTAAGAGAGAATGTAGAGAGAGAAGGCAGCTTAGGAGAGAGCCTTGGGAAATATCTCTAGGCAGAGAGCCAACTGAGAGGAGTGATCAGATGGGGGGAGGAGGAGGGGGAGGGGGAAGAGGAGGAGGGGGAGGAGGAGGAGAGCCAAGAGGGAGCGAGGTCCCAGAGACCCAGAGAGGAGAGGGTGGCCAGGTGACAAGGGGTGGGGCAACAGTCAGAGATTGCCAAGAGGTCAAGAAGGATGAGGAGCAGGAAAAGATGACTAGATTTGGCAGTGTAGAGATCATTGGTGCCCTTGGAGAGTGAGGGGACAGGAAGTGGACACACGAGTATAGACACTTTTTCGAGGTGTGTGGCTGAGGAAGGGAGGAGCCCCAGCTGGAGGGAAGGTGGTAGGCTCAGTAAGGGTTTTTTAAGGGTGGGGGAGGCTTGGGCTTGTTTGTGGGCAGTAGGGAAGGAGTTGGCAGAGAGGAAAAGGCCCATTCTATTTCTTGAATTCGGTAATGCTGTGAACATGCTAGAAACAAGCCAGAGACAGAGGGAAGGAAAACCACAGCTGAGTTCCTGTTTTCTGATTCCAGATTGATGTTAATCCTGGTTTCCCAGGCCCTGAACCTGTTTCCTCCATCTTACCTTGGCCGTCATTCACCCTGGCTGCTCGTGTGACCTCTTCCTGCCCACACATGTCCTTGGTCACCATAGAGCTCCCTCTGGGCACTGTGCCCCACCCCCCTCACCCCGCCATCTTTGTCCCACTATGTTTGGTTTCTGCTCTTTGGATTGGGGTGGTGAGACAGCTGAAAGAATGCTCTGGTCCTGATGAGCAAAACGCAAGATGGCAGCCAGGCCCCAAGTCCTTGACCACAGGGACTGTCACAGTGAGGCCTTGGCCATGCACTTCTTGGTGGATTCCAATCAAGCCCCAGCCACATCCAAATGCTCCCTGAAAAGCTGGGTTCTCTGTCCGTTGGGACACAGGGTGCAGTTCTCTTTTATTCCCTTCACAGAACTAGGACAGAAGTTCAGAGCGGCCTTAGATTTCCCCTTTGGTAACAAATTCAGACGAGTTGTCATGTTAACCTGCAGGCTGGGCTGTGTTTGAGTTTTCTCACTCCTTTCCTCATGGATCAGGTCAGCCCCGTGGCCTGGGGAACCCTGAGCAATCTCAGCCTCCCCAGCAGAATGTCCATGGGGCAGAGACAAATCCATCACCCCAACCTTCTCCTCTTCTTCTTCCTCCTCCTCCTCCTCCTCCTCCTCTTCTTCCCCAGAAGAATCTCCATGGGGCAAAGACACCTCTATCACCCCAACCTCCTCCACCCCCAGCAAGGGCACAGAAGAGCCTGAGCTGGCAAAACACAAGCCCTGTAGGGGCAGCTAGGTGGTGCAGTGGATAGAGCACCAGCCCTGAAGTCAGGAGGAACTAAGTTCAAATCCGGCCTCAGACCAAACACTTGACACTTACTTAGCTGTGTGACCCTGGGCAAGTCACGTAACCCCAATTGCCAAAAAATTTTTAAAAAGATAATTAAAAAAAACAAAAAAACAACACAAGACCCATGTACCAGGACATGCACCATCCTAGGGTTAGCTCACTCCAAGCCAGAAGTCTGAATGCGGCCAAATAAACCCCAGTGGGCTCCAATCTGTGGCTGTGCTGGGGGTACAAGGCCTTGTGTTCTTGCCTCCTCCCTGATGTTCTCCTGAGCTTCCTGAACCACCTGGTACCCAGGCTGCTCTGCTCTCCTCTGAAGCCCCCTCATCTCTTTCCAACATGCACAACCTGAGGGAGGGGCTCACATGGACAACCTGCTTGCTAAGTGGCAAGAACAGATATGAGGATCGAGCTGCTGCCTTGGAGTCCACCAGGGAGTGCCTAGGGCCCACCCAGGACACCTTGGGGGGCCTGAAGCTTCCCACAAGGACCATGTCAGGTTCAAGGAGTGAGACCTTGTGGGAGGACTAACATGGACTCAAACTGGAGAGCCGGAGCAGGCCCTTCTCTGCTTCACCCGGGTCAGCTTTCCCTGGGGGCTGTCGCCTCTTGGCCAAGGGAAGGCTTGGCCTCACTGCCCAACTGGGATCACTGCTGGGATTCTTGCTGGAGTTTGCTGTGACTTCGTGGTCACTGAGGCTTCTGGACCCAGGGTGCCCAGGCCACAGGACAGACTCCTGGGTAACGTGAGATGGCATGCCTCCCTCCCCCCCCCCCATTTCTGTGAATGGTTTGGTAGGGGGGGCGGTTTTAGGCATCTGTTCAACTGCCTTATTTGGTTTGAATTAAAAATTGCCCCAATTTACCAGGGCTTATTTTAATGCCATGTATTCTATAAATATATAATCCATTCTTAAAGGAAAAATTGTGTGTGTGAAAGAAATAGAGAGACAGAGACAGAGACAGAGAGAGAGAGATAGAGACTGAGAGAGAGACAGAGACAGAGAGCTGGAGGCAGAGACAAACAACAGGCAGACGGACGGACAGGGGGGTCTACTAGGTCCAAGCTGCCAAGACACATTAGAGATCTTTTCACTTGGACAAGAAAACATCCCTTGTTCTCATGGAAAGTTCCTGGGGGCCTCATTTCCAGACTGATAGAGGGATCTCATGAGGTCCAGGGGGGGAGGGGGTCTATGAGACGTTGGGGCCCAGCACCAAAGCTGGGGATGCCTGGGCCTTCAGGGACAGGGATGTGGATGAGCACTGGCAGCTCGGGAGTGGGGAGGGGGTTGGCAAGGGAATGTTCCTTTCCCATCCCAAGAGGCAGCTAGGTGGCACCACCTGGAAACCGGAAGGCCTGAGTTCAAATCCAGCCTCAGACATTTCCCAGCTGTGTGACCCAGGGGAAATCACTTCATCTCTGCCTGCTCCTGTTCATTCAACTATAAAACAATGAGGATAGTAATAGCACTAACCTGAAGGGGTTGTTGGGAGGATTAAATTAAATCATATTTGTAGAGTGCTTAGCACAATGCCTGGCACATAGTAGGTGCTTAATAAATGCTCATTTCCTCTCTTCCTTCCCATCTGTCACACACATACTAGAGCAGACCTGCCCGTAGCCTGGACACCCAAGGCTGCCAGGCTGGAGGGGGTCGGTCCAGGGTGGGCAGCAGAGATCTTTGTGTCCCTAGTGTGAGGAAGCCCCAGGTCCAATGTGCCCAGTGTGCTGGGTGCCCAGCAGGGCCTTGGCACAGGGAAGGAAGCAGACTCCTAGTCGTGGGCCACTTTTCATTCCATCCAGTGACTTTGAGAGGCTGAAAACCTCCCCGAGCAGCCCCCATCTTCCTTCTTTTCAAGAGAGGGGACAAAGCGACAGAGGGAAGAGGAGGGCAGTCTTTGCCTTTGCCACTTTTTCCAATCCCAATAGTGGGAGGCCGCATCTGATGAGCAAAGAGGAATGCCTTGGAGGCTGCCCAGAGAGTGGATTCATCTGAGAGGTGACAACCGCTCTCAATGAAAAGCCGCGTGTTTCACCAAAATGGTGGATTTAAGCCATAGCCCCCACTTCTTTGGCGGACCACCCCAGATCCTCATGCCCCGCGTCCCTCATCCCCCACAACCCCTGCATCGCCCCAACTGGCCGTGCTCACAGGCGGTCACTTTCGATGCTGTGAGCCAGAAGCATCCTGGCCAGTGCCCGAGTGGGCCGCCCAGCGGGCAGAGGGGCCGCCGAACAGGTGGTGGGTTTGTGCACACGTTAAGCAGGGATCCAGAGAGGCTGGTGTGCGCCTCAACGATTCTGGGAATGTGGCCCTCTGGAACGAGATACCCCAGGAAGGCATAGGCTCTGCGTCGCACAAGAAGAGAGGCTGAAATGAAAGCGTCTGCCCCAAGGCCTTCCTCCAGGCTCCCCCAACACTTAGCCCCCAGTCCCCCCCCCCCCCCCCCCCCCCCGTCTCCAGCCAAGCAACACTGTGCTCTGCTCTTGCCCTCACAGGGAAGAAGAGGAAAACAGGTCACGCAGAAAGCGCGTTTGTCATGAAATGGAATCATGCTGAGGGGCAGCCACTGCAGCCTTCGCTGTCTCTGGAAAAAGCCCGGGACCCTCAAAGCTTGGCACTAGCTGCTCTCAATGCTGAGTCCCCTGTGACTGCGCCCGAAGGGGCCTCCCCGACCATGGCTATGAATGAGCCTTCATAGCCCCTAGCCCAGACCCTGGGAGTTCTGCTCCAGTGCGGACCCCAGTAACCCTTGTTATCCATCGTCCCACATTCTTTCCTGCCGTCCCGCAGTGTCCACTGTCCTATGGGTCAGGAGAAAGGTCTGAGTCTCACCTCTCAACGCCACATCCGCTTCCCAGAGCGTTCTGTCTCCTTCCTGATCCCCTACTCGGTATCACGGACTTGCCCTGCTGGCTCCCTCGTGGGGCTGCTGCTGCAGCAGCGATGGGAGGCTGGGAGGAAATACTGTCTACGCGGTGCTGCACCTGCAGCCGGCTCCCTGTCTCCGCTGCCCTAACTGCCCAAGCTTTTGTGGCTGCGTCGCCTTGGGAGGCTGACTCATTGTGGTGTATGTCCCCAGCAAGACTTAATGCTTCACACCAGCTCGAGGGCTATGTCCCATAGGTCACTCGCCGCGCCGTAATGAGACGCCATACAGCAGGTCATTCGGAGAGACTCGGCTGCCTCTGGAAGATCTTACTCTGACGGGAAAGGAGAGCGAGGGTGCTGGGCTCCAACCCTGGCTTTGCTCCTGCCATCACGTCACCTTCCCTCTCTGGGACCCTCTCAATCCCTCTGTCTCCGAGGCTCCTGTGGCTCTGGCCACACTGCCCAGTTCTTGTTTGGCTTTCCTTTTCTCCTGAGCCCATCCTTGAGTGTTGGAAGAACTGGCAAATGTTCCAGCTGAGGCACTGCCAGTGATCTTGGGAAGGGAAAGGTAGGCCAGGGCTAGGTAAAGGAAAATGTCTTCCTGAGCTTCAAAAGGAGAAAGAATACACAGCTGTGGACTATATAGCAAGATCAGTGAATGGTGAAGAATATGAAAGACTTTTGTCCTCTGAAAGGGAGCTCTACATCCCTTGGACTCAGGCAGTGAAATTCTGTGCTGTTAGCAAAGAGGTCCAGTCAGCCTCTAGAAAAGACAGAGGGAAAGGGGAAAGGAGCCACATGTACAAAAAATATTTATAGAAGCTCTTTCTGTGGTGGCAAAGAATTGGAAATTGAGGGGATGCCCATCAATTGGGGAACTGCTGAACAAGCTGTGGTATATGAATGTAATGGAATACTATTGTGCTATAAGAAATGATGAGCAGGCAGACATTAGAAAAATCTGGACTTATACCAACTGATGCTGAGTGAAATGAGCAGAACCAGGAGAACATTGTACAAAGTAACATTAACATTGTGGGATGATCAACTTTGATAGACTTAGCTCTTCCCAGCAAATGATCTAAGACAATTCCAAAAGACTCATGATGGAAAATGCTATCCACATCCAGAGAAAGAACTATAAGGTATGATGCAGATCAAAGCATATATTATTTTCTTTTTTTCCCCTATCTTATGGTTTTTTCTGTTTTGTTCTGTTTCTTCTGTCACAATGTAAACTAATATTTAATATGATTGTATATGTATAGTCTATATCAGATTGCTTGCCATCTTGGGGAGGGGGGAGGGGGGAGTAGAGGAAGGGGGAAAAATTTGGAACTCAAAATCTTATAAAAGTGAATGTTGAAAACCATCATTTCATGGAATTAGAAAAACTAAAATACTATTAAGTGGAGGAAAAAAGAAAAGACAGGGGATCTCCAGAAGGCATCATGGTGTCCTAAAGAGCAGATCATGTATGAAGCTTTCCTTAAAATGACAAGTAAGTATTTATCTAACACCATCAGCAAGCATTATCCATGTGGGAATAAACTAAGAGCCATCCCAATAACATTAGAGGTGGAGCAAGGATGTCCATTATCATCACTATTATTCAATATTATACTAGAAATGCTAGCTACAGCAATAGGAGAAGAAACATAAATTTAAAGGATTAGAACAGGCTATGAGGAAACGTAACTGTCACTCTTTGCAGATGGTAAGATAGCATGCTTAAAGAATCCAAGACAATAAACTAAAAAACTAGTTGAAATAATGAACAACTTAGCAAAATTGTAGGATATAAAATAAACCCACATAAATCATTAGCATTTTTCTGTATAACCAACAAAGTCCAGTAAGAAGAGATAGGAAGAGAAATTCCATTTAAAATCACTGCAGACAATATAAAATACTTGGGAGCTTACTTACCAAGACAAACCCAGTAACTATATGAACACAATTACAAAACACTTTTCTCACAAATAAAGTCAGATCTAAACAATTGGGAAAATATTAATTGATCATGGGTAGGCTGAGCCAATATAATAAACATGACAATTCTACCTAAATTAATCTACTTACTCAGTGCCATGTCAATCAAACTACTAAAATTATTCTATAGAGCTAGAAAAAATAATAACAAAGTTCATCTGGTAGAACAAAAGGTCAAGAATACCAAGGGAATATTTGGGAAAAAATGTGAAAGAAGCTGGACTCACTATACCAGATCTCAAACTATAAATTATCAAAACAATTTGGTATTGGCTAAGAAATAGAGCTGTAGATCGGTGGAATAGGTTAGGTATACAATATATTGTAGTAAATTACGATAGTGATTTAGTTTTTGTCCCCAAACTTCGGGGACAAAAATTCATTATTTGATTAAAAAACTGCTGGGAAAACTGGAAAACATGATGGCAGAAACTAGGTATAGACCAACATCTAACACCATATACCAAGATAAGGTAAAAATTGGCACATGATTTAAACAGCAAGGATGATACCATAAGCAAGAGATAAGCTCTCCATTCTGGAGAGTAATTTGGACCTATGCCCAAAGGGCTATAAAGTATTATTAAACTGTGCATACCCTTTGATCTATTGCTAGGCCTGTATCCCAAAGAGATAAAAAGGGGGTGGGGAGGACCTATTTGTAGAAGAGTATTTATAGCAGCTTTTTTGTGGTGGCAAAGAATTGAAAATTGAGAGGATGCCCATCAATTGAGGAATGGTTGAACAAGTTGCAACATATGATAGTAATGAAATACTATTGTTCTATAAGAAATGACAAGCAGGATACTTTCAGGAAAAAAAAACTGAAAAGTCATACAAACTGGTGGAGAATGAAGTGAATAGAACAAGGAGAACAGTGTACACAGTAACGACAATATTGTATGATGAAGAATTGTGAATGACTTAGCTATTCTCACCAATACAACAATCCAAGACAACTCTGAAAGCCTTATGAAGTGCGCTCCCTCCCCAGAGAAAGAACTGATGGAGTCTGAATACAGACCAAAGCACACTGTTCTTTCTTTCCTCCTTTCTTTCTTTCCTCCTTTCTTTCTTCCTTCCTTCCTTCCTTTCTCTTTCTTTCTTTCTTTCTTTCTTTCTTTCTTTCTTTCTTTCTTTCTTTCTTTCTTTCTTTCTTTCTTTCTTTCTTTCTTTCTTTCTTTCCTTCCTTCCTTTCCTTTCTTCCTTCCTTCCTTTCTTTTTCAAGTCTTCTTCCACAAAGAGACTAATATGAAAGTATGTTTCACATGATTGCACATGTGTAGCCTATATCAGATTACTTACTGTCTCAAAAAGGGGAGGGGAAGAGGAGAGGGAGAGCATTTGGAACTCAAAATTTTTTTTAAAAAGATGTTAAAATTTAGTTTTTTGTGTAATTAGAAAAAAATAAAATAAATATTTTAAATACAAAATAATGCAAAATTAAAACCAGAACTAGGAAAACAATGTATATGTTTACCTACAACTATATCATAATTTTAAATGTGTACATTTACATATATGAATATACATCACAGAAAAATTTTAGGAGTTACTTAGTTGTTAGTGTTACCTGTGTTTAAGATAGTTTTTATTTTAAATAGTCTGATTACACTTTTTTAAAAAAGGCAATTGGGGTTAAGTGACTTGCCCAAGGTCACACAGCTAGTGTCAAGTGTTTGGTCTGAGGCTGGATTTGAACTTAGGTCCTCCTGACTTCAGGGCTGGTGCTTTATCCACTGTGCCACCTAGCTTCCCCTGATTATACTTTTTAATTGGTTTTTATTTCATGCTAACTATGTTCATATTGAAGACAATAATTAAAGAAAAAAAAGGAATAGATCATGCAGGAATAACATTGATTTCTATTTTGACAAATCTGTCCAGTGGGAGAGACCAGTGGACTGCGGCATCCAGAGCTTAGCTAGATTTTAGCAACATGCCTGATGAAGTAAGACTCGTGCTATTCTTGTGGAAAAGACAGAGATGTGAGAGGATGGTTAGGTGGGTCAAAAGGAAAGACATCAATGGGTCAGTCATCTTGGCAGGAGGTCTCCAGTGGAGTTCCCCAGGATCCTTTGCCAGCCCTGGGTGAAGGGAGGTACAAGGTTGACCTTGACTTCATTTCATTTTGTGCTTACTCAACCTCATTTGCATGTCAATTAGAAGAATCTTGGAAGTAGATGAGTCTTCATAGCCCCAGCCTGTGCACAATTTCCATAGCATTTATTTTCCAACAGAATCTCCAAAATGTTAGGGAGCACAGGATCCCTATTGGGGGTTACATGGATATTAAAAGGAATTTTCTAGTATGAATTCAGACTGTTGTCTGGGACTGTGGACTTTAAACACCAAATACAGTTCATCAGAAGAACAGACAATTACATTTGGGACACTCTGGTTGGCTGTCGGGGGAAGTATGGAGGCTCATTAATCCAGTGGTTATGCACTGAAAGATCTCAGCTTCCTTTTGTGAGGGAAAAGCTGCCTGACCATAGCTCTGTAGCAGATGGGAACAGTGAGCCAGTTAAAGGTCCTAAAGACCTAAGTCCAGGAGATAGTAGCTCAGCCAAGACTGAGAGGTACCAAGCAGAGATGAGAGACTCAGCACAGACGTGCCATGCCCATCAAAGAAACCCATGCAATGGCATCACCAGAGGATATGGTTCTGTTGGAGCTACCTGTCCCCTGCACTGTGGCTGCATGGCTTCCTGGCATGCCTTTCCATACATGTTCCATGGTCTCCCATGCTCCATGTGTGTGTTCTCTCCTCCACTGATGGCATGACAACCTGAGGAAGAGGGTATCTGCCATGCTCCATTTAAAAACAAAACACTTTGGGGGAGGAAAGGACTGGTGATGCTCAGTCACCAGGGGATGGAGTTCATTCAGAACATAGGCGTTTTATCCATTTGGATTACTGCTGAACATCCCAATTGTTGCTGACCAGAACAATAGGCAACAGTCTCCATTTCTTTGTCTTGGTGACTCTGGGGCTAACCTTTTCATCTCCACGATGGAACATTTCTAGAAAAGTCTCAGACTTATCAAGCACACTGTTTTTAGGAGCTTTTGACACTTTCCCTCGGTGGGGAAAACTGCTTTCTGTGAGGCTGCTGTCACAACTGGGAACATCTTGCTCCCAAGTAAGAGTGGTGAGAGAATCTACAAGAAGAAGCAGTGGGACCTAGCCGTAAGAGCCACAAGATGGGTAGAAGTCGTAAATGCACCCTGGCACCAAGCCTTTGTGGAGCAACTCCTGAGCTCTGCACCAGGCCCTGGGGGTACAAAGACATAAATGAAACAGTCCCTGTCCTCAAGGAGCGCACGTCTTGCAGAGAGAAATCACATGTACACGGCTAAGTGCAGACAAGCAAATACCAGGTGACTGGGGAGGAGGCAAACAGACAGGGCAGACAGGGAACCTGGTAAAGTCTCATGTGGGAGGTCATGTTTGAGCTGAGATTGGAAGGATTCTGATGGAGCAAGGAGAAGGAAGAACATTGGAGGGATGTGTAAAGCCTGTAAAAGGCACATGGGATCTTAGAGTGTCTTAGGTGAGGACCAGCAAGGGCAGTTTGACCGGAGCAGAGTACGAGACAGCGAAGAATGTCTATGAAGGCTGGAAAGGTAGGCTGGAGTCAGGTGTGAAGGGCTTACATCCCAACAAGAGGAGATTGTATGGAGGGATATCATTGACCAAGGGAGTGAGAAGTCAGGCTTGCGCTTTAGGCGTCGCTCTGGCTCTTAGGAGGATGGAACCAGGGCAGTGGCTGCGTATTCAGAGAAAAAGGAACAAATAAA